GCTGATTGGTCAGTGATTTTAAGTCTGACGTTTGATTTTTTAATCATTTCCTCGGTTTGAATGTTGGCGAATGACTTACTGATTGACTAGTTTTGATTTGTGGATTAGTTTAGCAACTAACTGATTGACATCTTGACCGAATAATTAATTACATACTTATTATCAATTAATTAAATTAATTAATTAAATTACTTAATTATTATAATTAATTACTCGGCCGACCAGTACGCCATTGTATTCAAAACTCCTCCCTACCGGAACCCGGATATTCAGGAACCTGTCACTGTCTTCGTACAGCTGAGGCGGCCCTCAGATGACGAGGTTGGTGATCCCAAGCCTTTCCAGTACATTCCTCAGGATCCGGGTTGGTTTTGTTTAGCCAATTATTTCATTAATTCATTTTTTTATTCATTCATTCACTCATTCGTTCATTTATTTATTTATTCATTCATTCCTTCATTCATCATTCATTCATTCATTCATTCATCCATTAATTTATTCATTCATCCATTCATTCATTCATTCATTCATTCATTCATTCATTCATCCATTTTAATACTTTGATGAATTTTGAGAGAAAAAAAAAAGTTTATATGCCAAACATCGAACGTTCCCGTCAACAGATCCTTACGGTTTAAATATGAAGAGGAAGAAGAAAGAATTGAACATTAGCGACCCCTGCCAGAACCAGATACCCAGGATGGTCATGGATGAGAGTAGTCCAGGTGCGTCTGCGTGTGTTGGCGGTTTTGAGGACGATCTGTCTGGAGTTGTTATCGCTGGCTGACTGGCTGGCTGGCTGGCTGTATATTATTGGTCATCTGTATGTGTGTGTCTGTGTGTGTGTCTGTGTGTGTGTGTGTGTGTGTGTCTGTGCGTGTGTCGTTGCGATGTTGTCGTTGGTTAGTTGTTGTTTTTTGGTTGGTTGTTGGTTGGTTGTTGGTGGCTGGTTGTTTTGGGTTGTCGTCTATGTGGTTAGTTTCTTGTTGATCACCGCTGATTATTGTATACATAAGTTTGCTCCTACTAATCTGTCAACGCGATTTCTATAAACCACCATACATATGCCGAATAACAAATAACAACAAGCAAACAAACAACAAACAAACAAACAAACAACATGCAACAACAAACAGACAAACAACGCCAAACAACGCCAAACAAACAACACACAAACATCATACAACGAAAAAGATGACCAGGACTTGAACGATGCCCTCAGCAACATCAACGCTTACAAACATCAGACTCAGCAACCAGGTCGCATGAACATCCGAAACAAGCTGAAGAAGAAGGCAGAGGAAGGATTGCAGAGGAGAGACAGTACGTCTATGTTGCTGATGCTGCTGATACTAATGTTGCAGATATTATGTTGCTGATACTTATGTTTGAATTTCTTTTCTCATCCATTGGATATTTTTCTCCCGACGAACCTTTGTAGGAATGGATGATGATTTAGCTGTATTGTTGATGATGTTTGTGAGCTTCTCTGCTCGATTCGATGGTGGCATGCGACAGTCCTCTCCTTCGTTTAAAGTATATTTTAAGCTTTTAACCATTTTCGTTTTGTACATTGGCCAATCAGTCTTGTCGTCTCAAAGTTGGTCGTTCACTTTGAATGACTGTCTCACTGCTGATTTGAACAATGTTATATTTATTTGGGGGTGGTCAGATTGTAGATTGTGTCTTACTTCCTATTCGGGCATCTGGCTTGGATTGTTGGATACTATTGTTAAAGGCTGTTTTTAAAGGCTGTTGTTGATGCTGTTGATGTTGTTGATGCTGTTGATGCTGTTGCTGATATTGATGTTGTTGAATTTAGTTTTTAATGTTCTTAATTAGTAATTATCAACATTAATAAGAACATAATTAGAAATTATTTTTTGTAGTTGTTTTTAAGTATAAGTTTGACCCATTTCTAAGTAAAAAAAATGAAATGCTCTTTTTACTTACCAAATGGTTTAAAACTTTTGGATTGAATCCTTTCCATCCTACAGAGGCGCATAACCTAGACATAAAATTTGAGCCCGGTGCCACATTCAACACGGACCTTCCCAAATACTCACTCATCGCTTCCCCCCTCCAACCGACCATCCCAACAAACAACAACAGCAACAACAACAATAACATCCTCAACAACAACAACAACATCCTCAACAACAGCACCATCGACAACACGGGCATTCAGCTCATACAATTGCTTCAGAAGAACTCCATAGGTGGCAGTCCAAATGTCGTCTTCTTGAAAAATGTCGTGTTAGTTAATTTGTATTCAGTGTATTTCTAGACAGATATTCTAGCAAACATAAACGGTAAGACACAGACTAGCAAGCAAACAAAACCGAATAATCATAAACAAAGACTCAAAGCACAAAAGCAGACAAACACAAGCACAAGCAAACAAACGAGCAAAAACATCCGTCATTGCAGGGGCAACCAGCTTCAGAACAGCCACATCCCTGTCCAGTTCCTGCTCCCAGGCGGCACGGGCAACTTCTCCAACAGCGCAATCATCGCCAACAACAACAACAACAGCGTCCTCACCAACGACAACCTCATCGCCAGCACTAGTATCATCACTAACATTACCACTACCTCCACTGCGGCCACCTCCAACAGCAACAACATCAGCCGTAACATCGGTAGCAGCAGCAACGTCAACAGCAGCCAGATAATTGTAGCGTCCAGCCACGAAGCAGCGGATATGCTGGCGAGCAACGACCACTACATCTCCTTGGACCACATGTCGGGCGACTCCATCCCTAACTTGAGTGGCTTCTCAGAATTGATGGCTGGCGTCGATTCGACGGTGAGCAACCGAGATTTGGACGTCGGGGCTCAGGAAATGGTGGTCGAGGAGGGTGGCGTGCATTCGAGGCACGAACACCTGGATGGGGCCGGCAACCATTAGCAGATCCGTGCACGCATGTTGTACACGTTTTGTTTGTCGGTTCATGAACTTCTGCATTGGTGCGTGCAGTTTATATGAGATGTTTCAGATGTCTGGTTGACAGATAAGTTTCTTTATCAGATGAATGTATCTTTAGATCAATGAGCGAAATAATGAATGAATATTTATATAGAGATAGGTGAATTATTGCATGAGTTAATGCACTTGTGAATGCATGGACAATCAGACAGGTGAATGGATGACCGTGCAGATGAATGGATGGAACAACTGTTGCATGCATGGTGTTCTTTGAGTTATAGGTGATTGAACTGGTGGGTGGATAATTAGTTGATGAGAAACACATTTAAGAGTTCATCTACCCAGGGTCTTGGCTGAAGAATGTATGAATTTTGACAATGTATTTCTTTGATGTTTTATACATTGCTATATACTTGTAAAAATCACGGACTAAAATAAATATATTTGTGCGGTGTGTGTTCGTGTGTGTGTGTGCATTTAACTGTGTGTGTGATGTGTGGGGTGTGTGTGTGGGTGTGTGCATTTAACTGTGTGTGTGTGGGGTGTGTGTGTGGGTGTGTGCATTTAACTGTGTGTGTGTGGGGTGTGTGCGTGCCCGGCTGATGTTTATTTATTTTTAATTTAAAAATCCGTATCTTAAATTTTTTTTATTTTTATTTACTTTATTTTTTTTAACTTTCAGTTTAAACAAAAACTTTCCCCATTTGCCTTGTGAGACAGCTTTTAAACAAATTGTACAACTGACTCCACTTTTAAAATAGTGGTTTCATTACCTTTTTAGCGTTTAAATTCTTTGGAATTATTTAAAATTTATAATTGTGCTTCTTATATGAGATATAAGACATGTGATATGAAACCGTTGGAACGTGTTGTTGTTAAATATATATATATATATGGTTCCACGTTTTATCATTGTTGTTATTGTTATTATCATTATTATTATTATTATATTTTTTCAGAATTTGCCATTATTTCTTGCTGTGTGTATTTGTTTTTACCTACGCAATTTAACGAATGAAGTTTCCTCTGCTAACATGTTCATGATGTGAGTTGAACATCAGACCATAATAAATGTTACATCGTTATTGTTGTGCTTCCGCTTTCAAACCGGAAGAATATTTGTTAATATTTTTCAATATAAAATGTTTAAGAGTAGAATGTAACATTTAGACAAATATAACTCCTTAATTTGTTAATAAATTTATCGAAATATGCCCTAGTTAAGTTCAATATATTAATGCACAAATATTAAATATTTATTTTCATAATTCTGTAAAACAAAGTTTATATTATTTAAATCAAATTATGTATAAATTTAATTTATAATATATGTATAAATATATATACATTATATATATATAATTTATATTTCGTTCCTCGAGTTAACACTGGATAATATATTATGCTAATGTTAGTCTAACAATTGATAAATATGATAATTTTATGTTAATGTGCGTTTATTGATCTGTGAACATGTGTAGCTTTGCATCGGCGTTTGAAGTTTACGTTATTGAATGTCAAACTTTAAAATTGAGGTAAATTTGTCGAAAGAACTCAAAAAATGACGATGGTGGATGGGAATGCGGTGTAAATAAAATGCCTGAGATATTTAGAATTGTAATTTTTTAAATTAATAATTAATTCTACTGATAAGCTTTAAAAAAGAATAAATATTTATAAGATGTCAATCAATCAACGGCCACACCCACAGGATGCGGCGGGACAGGCGGTCTAACATGTTCCGGATTTGTTCTCCTCCTCCTTGATCTCGCTGGGACCAAGGCACGTGTACTTCTTTGTGCAGCCTGTCTCAAACCAGACACTGCCAACCTGCGGTTGTTGGAGGATTAATTTAAGATTGATTAGTGAATTTTTGGTTTGGGTACAAATTTATCGAAGTAGTCTATCTATAATTTTAACGCCATGGATTATTGGCAAATGTGGTCTAAAAATGAAACCACGAAGCGTGTAAATATATTGATAGTAAAAGAAATAGGCACATATATACAGATGTGTGTGTGTGTGTGCAACCAACTGGAGATAAAATGAAATTCATTCAAGCAAGCGCCTGCCCTGTACAAATGTCATATATGTCTACAAACGTTGAGACACACGTGGCATGTTGTGTCATCAGTCGCATTGAGGAAACATAGAAGCAGCGAGACATCAACTTACGTTATAAGACATTCCGGTTTTGCTGACACACCCACACTGATTCCTGGGAATGCATCGTTTGCTGCTGAACACGAAACCTGGCGGACACGAGCAGACGTTGACCTCGTCAGGGAAGGTGCAGTGCTTGGGGGCGTCCAGATCGGCACATGTGGCCAGGCATGGAGATGAGGGAGCCGGGTTCAACACCATGCCATTCACCGGGCAAGATGGTGAAGGTAATGCTGATAATTTTAAAAATTAATAACAGTATTGAAGAGCAACATCAACAGGATTTTCAAATATTATATGGCTCTAACTCTAGTATAACACGGTAAAACTTGACGTGGCGATAATTGTCTAACTCACTAAAATGAATTATTTTGAGCACGTGGTTTTTTAAAACGATGTAAATCGATGTATTGAAGATTTCAAGAACTTGTTAAAAAAATCGAGAGAGTAAAACGACGGAACATACTGAAATTCGCAGTTGAGTTGACAGTGACGACGACACCGACCTCTTGGCAGAGGACCACCAAACTACTGAAAGCCAGGGTGAACATGTCGGCACTGCACGTCAGCACGACGTCAAGTTGGCACTTGGTTTGCGCCTGAATGAAGAGGTTGGAGCCCAGAACGTTGGCACAGGCTGCGAATGCCGCGTGGACGTCAATGACTTGTGTGCATAGGAGGGTGTACTTGTTGATCTCGAAAGCTGACAGCTGGCAGCCCGCAGGTGGGGTGGGGGGTTGCGTCAAGTTGGGTGCCGTCGTTAAGCCACCGACTGGTCCTGGTGGTGTTGAATGATGACGAATAGATTATTCAATAGCAGAAATGATCCTGATGCAACAAGGTGTAACGATCATGTTTACAAAACATTAATTTAAGGCTGGCAATTTGTTTGCAAATGAATAATTCAATAAAGGGAATTGAAAAATGAAAAACCAAATAAAACTAGCGAATTGAAACTCACTGGTAGCTGTGAAGCTGAGTGGGCTGCCTGTGACGCTCGCAACAGCTGTCACCGAACTTGATGGTCCGACGGTTGCTGTTACGGTAGGTAAGGTGCCAGTTACGGCGGGTACTACGACTCCACTAGGTGCAGGGACTGGAGGTGCTACAGGGTCATCAACGGGAACAGGATTGTTCACGAGATCCATACACGAACTGTTTGAATGGATATTTTGCACTCTTTTTTACTTTATATTTTGATGAAATTTTTAACAAATCTTTTCATCGTATCTTGTATTTTTAAAAAGTTTTAAAATACAAACTTGGGATCAATTGCTTCCAAATCATTAACGATGAAAGAGTTTGCAATCTCCTGACCAGGTTTGGTGGTGGACACAGGTGGTCGCCTATTGAGCTGCATCATGTCGTTGTCCTTGCTGCCGTCAAAGTTACCACACAGGCCAATCAAACTTCCCGCAAATTGACTCGGCAGTTTGATTATTGCTTGCCAGTTGTGATACAATATTGACACTCCGAAGTCAGTCCTCCACTCGACCTTCTGACCTCGGTACGCAACTTCCCACTGGTCGCCCTTCAGAGGCAGATGAATGAGCGAACCGTTCATCTGAATTTATAAATTTAAGATCATTTTTAACAAAATTACATTCCTTTTAAAGATGTTGATGAAATGATAAAAGCACATTGATTGCGAAATAGTTTATAAGAGAACTCCCGTCATAACTCACACTGACGTCCACAGACCCCATGGTACTCAACGACAGCTCAGGACGTTCCAACCTCAACACGCCGATGGCAGTTTCAATTTCAACGTAGCGCAAGAAGGCCGCATTTTTGTTGATGACAAAATTTTTGCCGAAGACTTTGAAGAGTGGAGCAGGGGGGAGGGACTGGAGGAGGAGAAATTTGCAGTCACCTCCGAAGTCCAGGCTGGCGCCGTCAAAGGTCAGCAGATGTCCATTGCCGGAAATTGTGCACGTGTTGTTGGAACCACCTGTTTGCAAATAAGGCAAACTCTCACTGGTCCCGTTTGCATCTTAAAATTTATTCTAACAAGATTTCCATTCGAAGCAACTTCAAACCAAATGACGACAACTTAATGATTAAAATTAAGTTTCAATAGATATGAAATGAAGCTAATGCGTCGAGTTGAGTCACTGATAAAGAAATTATATGTATATATATATATATATATATATATGCATATATATATATATTATATATATACACATATAGTCTGTCTAAATAGGTTTTATTAAAATTTTATTTAAAAATTCACTAACTATATTCACAGAATTTTCCAGCAAAACCAGTCAAACATTTGCAGATGGGATTCGGGCTGTTCATTACGTCAATACAAGTTCCATTGTTTTGGCATGGGTTGTTCGATGCACAGGCTGTCGTCAGGGAGAAATTTTGTTTAATAAAGCTTTTTATGTACAGTTTTTTATTTAAAAAATTGCAATGAACCGTAGAACCATTAGCGAAACCAGTTAACTAACACCTTACAACAATCAAACTAGATTTTGTAATCGTTATGAAGTTATTGAAAATTTTTGAAAATTTTATAAAATGACGTGTCAGCATATTTTACACTTGTCTAAACGATACCATCCAGTCTAATACTCTTCCAATTTCATTCACGTGAAAGTGTGAGAATATTGAAGGACGAACCCGAGCAGACGCCCGCCGTGCACAGGGTGCCAGCTGGGCAAGTAAATGGCACTGAAGAGGTCGTCCCATTCCTCGCGCACGTGTATTCCATTGAACAGTCGAGGTTCAACCATTTTTCCAACGTCTTCAAAATTATTTCAAAAAATTGTATTGCTTGACATGAGAATTTAAAATAAAATGCCAATTTTTTCTAAAAACAAAAATATCAAACTATTAAACATATAGACATTCAGCATTACTAATATAATTTAAAAAAATTAAATAATTAAAAAAACTTTTCATCAAGTTTTCCACGAACCTTCCTAGCAGTTCCAAAGCCATCGACGCAGCCACACATGGAAGGAAGCACACACGTTCCATTAAGGAGAAGCTTGCCCGCGGGACACACGCAAACGTCCTGCAGTTCGGGTTCCAAGCAGGTTTTCGGGGCATCGGGGTTGTTGCAAGTGGCGGGACAGGCAGGGGAGGAGGGGGCACACACGAACCCTGGCGCGCACTGACATTCTGGTTAGTGCATGGTTGGTGGTTTGTTTTAAACAATTGAAGAAATTGTTCATTTGTTAATTAATTTTAGTATTAGCCAGTTAGTTACTTTATTTGCATATTCAATTGTTCTTGAATGAACAACCGGCAATTGACCATATAGAAAAAAGATTGGTTCCAATTCAATCTCAGCTGAATTTCATACTAAGTGGGCAACATTTCACTTTCTTGACTACATCGCTTTTAAAGTGTAAAAAACATGTACATACATCGTGTACGTGAACGCACAAACTCCATTCCAGCATAAAGTGGATTATTAGCAAATGTTGCATAGGAAGTGAGTTTTCGCCAGTATTGATTATTGCAACAAATTTTCTTTTTCATTTTTTGTGTTTTTAAACTCAACGAAAAGCATGTTCTTAAAAGCTTATGGCATTTGTAGCTTTAAAATTGTGATGCACGAAATTTTTATTTAATGCCGTGTTATTCAATGCAATGTTATTTGTGAACTTTTTCATCCACCATGAAACGTCACTTACTACATTTGAAAGTTTCCCTCCAACCAGATGGTGTGCTCACTCCAACCGAAAGTTTGCAGAGATCCACAAAGCTTTCCAGAGCCGTACATGATAACAAATCATTAAGAAAGAAGTCCACATTGAACTTGCAAGTATTAACGAAGATTGCCACCATGGCTGGGTCCAGAAGAGCCACACAAGCGGCGAATGAACTGTTGGCACTGACGATGGCATCACAGCGGGATTTGTCCAGTGGGATAGGCGGAACAGGTGTCAAACTTGTGTTGCTCAAGTCAGGTACCGAGCAGTTTCTAATGCATAAGTAATTTTTTTGTTAAAATATTTAACTGAATTTTCAATCAGTTATTTAAAAGACATTTCACAAAGTCGTGTGTTAAAATAATAAAAAAAACGTACGATAAGTATGGGTACTGGAAATCTGATACGTAGTAACTGTTCCCAACTGAATTACCAACATCCGTAGAATTTCCTCCTCCCCCAATACCTGTGAACCCTGACTGCGCTGAACCTGCAAGCGAGCCACTGAAGGGTATGCCATCGTTTTCTTTAACCCCATCAAAGTTCCCACAAGTTCCCATAACCTTTCCAGAGTATGTTGGTGGCATGATGATGTATGACCTACCCGACTTAGCCAAGCCAACTTTAATCTGACTGCTGGTTGAGAATTCCAGATCTGCTCCAACTACTTGAACTGATATGTCATCAACAGAGAACGGCGCTGTGTAAGGCAATTTGACGTTTGTAAGCATGTCGAATACCTGTGGACGAATACTTTCAATCTCAATTCATACTATTAGTTTAGCTACATCATCAAATTTTTTAAAAACAAAAATTTAATTAATTTACAAGTTGGTTATGATATTACGTATTGTGTTGTTGTCTCGCTTGAATGTTTGCGGTTACATAATCAGGTGCAAACAATCGCAGCAGTAGGAGGCGTAACTTGCAGTGCGAGATGTTTTTTTTTACCAACACGCAGAAATAAGGTGAACACATTCAACGTGGTAAAATTGTTGGCCTGATAAAAACCGACATCGTATTGCCGTAAATAATAAATAAATTATAAAAAACAATTAAAAAAATAAATTGATTGTTTGGCATTTGACAGTTGAAACATAAATCAACTACAAAAGAGACAGAAACCGAACTGCACTCAAAAATGTACACTGACATCGCATTTTGGGATCCCAAGTCCATCGCTCTTGAATTTAATCAGCCTTCCATTCCATTGAATCATTATTTCCCTCGTCCAGGTCGTAGCAGCTGCAGCACCTTGCTTCCATGCTGGAACGTTCTTTGAAGCCACGGAAAATGTCGGAAGGGTTGGGACGTTGAAGGAGGTGAGGATTATCATGCAGGGAGCTCTGTAGAGGAGGGAGAAGCCGTCAAATGTTGAAATCTGTGGTCCTTCCGACAACATACACGTGCCAGATGCTGGTTGAGTATTTTCAAAAATTAAATTATTATTTATCGGAATTTTGTTTGTTAAAATTTATTCAAGAAATCATTCACCTCAAATTATTTCAACGTTCAAAAATTACTCTTCTACATTTTTTCTAAATTTCACAAGCGTAAACATTTAATGACAAGTACAGCTATTTAATTTGAAAATATATTTGAAATAAGACCTTGATCGCATGTGTTTCCAGTAAATCCTTTTTGCAGACACAACTAAATAGCTGAGCTGGAGTGGCTACTGCTGCTAGTGTGGTTGTCGGTGGTGTGGTTGCCGTCGGAGGCGGCACTGGTGGGTTCGCGGCGGCACATGGTTGGTCTGAGATAGGGTTAAGGGTATTCAAGTTGAAATGAATTTATTAAAATTTTTTAATAAATTTCAATCAAACCAAACAAGAATTTAAATCATTTGAACAAATCAAAAATTTACCAGAATAAAGACACAACTTACTGGAACACGTCCACTCATAGTAAGTGAAGCTAACATCATCGACAAGATCCCCTCCTGCTTTTACAACGAGACCACATCTCTGTCCCATGTTAGCCGAAGGATTCCAGTTGATTCCCATGCAATCTGTTCTGCTGGTTTGGTAACAGGCTTGGAAGCAATCGGCCAACTGACTGACGGCTGAAAGTCCTGAAGATGTCGAGGCCAAACTTTTTTTGTTGGCGAATTTCTTCCAGTAACAGCCTGAAGTGTTGGTTTGAAATTGTTATATCCTTAGGGTGTTATTGGGTTTTAAAACGCGTCGGATAGAACGCAAATCGCAAGATAACATTTTATCAGGTTTGCATTGGAAAATGCAAATTTTTCAAATACTTCGATTTGAGTATTCAAACAAGCGTGTACATATTCAGATTCACTCAACGGTTGCAGACTAGCGTCAATAGAAATATTTCGAAATGGAAATTTTTAACCTGGATTGGTGGGCGATTTATCTTGGCAGGTCAACGTTTCCAGGCACGACCCCCCGTTGAGACACGGTTGGGCCGCCACACAGGCTGCAACATGGGTTTGATTTCAAGTCAATGTTAACATCATTTTTGCTTTTGCTATTTTAGCCAAATAAAATCGATTGAGACTTGAAATAAATATTAGATTATGACAAAACAGACGATAGTTAACACCAAAAAAACTATTCTATCCAATGCATGTTATACTGACCTGAGCACTTTCCATTGAAGCAAGAAGTTTGATCCGGACAGGATGTTGCCTCGGATTTGATGTTGTTCAAACCCGCGCAGGTCAACAACTGCGTGCAATCCTTGCTCAACCAGATCTCTCCAGTCTTGTAATATTTCAACGGGAATTATTAACAATTACATAATATAATTAAAAATAGTGTAACTAAGGTCGGACAAGTGGGAAGTCTGTTGGTATGATGAGATGGGAGATTCTATGAAACAGAAATGCGTGCAGATTGTTAACGACTTGCATTAGTTTTGAATCAATTCAACCAGAAAAAACGTACACATTCGCATTATTAAATAATTTATAAAGTGAGTGTCATAGTAGAAAAAATTTATCTACAAATCTAATCATCAAAGAGAAAAGTCATGAAAACAAACAAAAGAACGAACAAACGAACGAACGAACACACGAACAAACGAACGTGGCATCTCGATGGGACACCAGGTCTCACCTTTCGAGCTCTGCCCTCAGCGTCGATGCATCCAGCCTGCTGCAGATCCACACAGACTCCATTGAACAGGACCTTCCTAGGGGGGCAGGTGCAGACGTCGATGGCATCTGGTAGCGCACAGACGGAGGATTTGTCTGGGAAGAAGAAGTTGGGCTGGCAGGGAGGGCCCTTCGGAATGCAGATCTTGTCGTCTGAACACCGACAGGCTGAAGGAGCGTGCGTAAGTAGATATACGTTTCTTAATTGCAATTTCAATCATGTGCATGTGGCCCACATAAACGAAGTGATCACACACGTTACATTTCCGCATTTGAGATCTTTTTAAAGAGCGCTTACAGACACAACAATATATGAATCGTAACATAGTGTGATGCCCTACAATGGAATAACTATTACTATTGCCGTTATTCATTTGAACTGACAGAGCATAATTAAAATAATATCGTCAAAATCTTATTTGACGACAATGAATTAGAAGTGATAGATGTTACGGAACCAAGAACACTAACGAAATTTCAACTTCCTTCTCCAGTCAGGAATGTCGACTTGGGCATATTGGAAACAGTACAGTACAAACTGGAAGATGGCAGGCTCAACAACGCTTTCGTCGCACGTCTGCTGGAGGTCGAACAAGCAATCGTATTGGAAAATTTGGGCAACTTTGCGACCGACTTTGTTGATGCATTCTCCAAATAATTCATTGACGTCTGTCAGCAGGTTGCACTTCATGGTCAGTTCCTTCATGGAAGGGCTGCACGTCTGGTTAGTGACGGCAGGGGGCTTGCAGCTGTCCCTGTTCGTTTAGTTGGGTAGATGTTGTTTATTTAGCTGGGTGGTTGTTCGTTTATAGTTGGGGGGTCGAGTGATTGAATGATAAGGCAGTTCAATAAATTAGATAGTTGAGATCAAAGATACAATGAGTGTAATTGATTATGCAAATGATTTAGTATTTCAATTTTATTGATGCTAATGATACGTTCATTGTTTAGAAGAATTTTGATTCTGCTGCTTCTCTGCGCTGTGGCTCACTTTTTAAAAATATTTTTCATCGTATAAGAACAGATAAGTTGAGTAGTCAGTGAAAATTATTTCATATTAGAGTCAGTAACATAATTAATACTACAAAGTGATGCTCTTCTTTCGAGAACTAACTTCAAAAAACAGGAAAAATAACATTAACTAACATTATCCCCGCATTGTCTACATCACCCATAACAATGTAACTGTCTCCAACAAACTTCCCCGGATCTCTCATCCCACTCACATCCTGACCGTCCTTCGTCACCAGGTCGTTCCCCTGGTTGCCGTCGAAGTTACCGCATATGCCGTAGACCTGTGTTTTGGGTTATGTGATGGTCGGTTGGAGTTGAAAAGTTAATATTGGCTGTTGAGGTGTGGAGTGCAGTGTCTGTGTGCTGGACGAACTACGTTGCATCAGAAAATCATTCAAATATGAAATACACTGAAAGGCATGGTGATGAAGCAATATTCACAATCTTGGCATAGGTGATTTTGTTTGTTACGGTTGTCAAAATATATCTCTAGACACAGTTGTAAACATTCCAAAGCATCTCATTCGAACTATGAATGAAAGAGCTGCTAACTTTTTTAGTGAGATAGTTGGGAATGTCGACGGAAGCCATTCCATTAACGTTGTAACCGACGACAAGTGATCCGTCCGTGGTTCTCAACTCAAGGCCGTCGGCATTATAGATGATTGTGAAGTCGTTGTTGACGTGGGGAGGTTCAACTGAAACGCCGTCCACCTGTCGGAAGATTTCGTAGCGTGTCGTGTGAGGAGCGTTCGATGCTCCTTTCTTTTAGTTTATTATCGCCGAGTGTCGTTGGTGGAATGTTATTTTTACGTTGCATTTTACGGGGCTGTTCATTACTGCTTCGATAAACGAAATTATTATTCCATCATAATTTTAAAATGAAAAAGGTTTGTAAAATATGTATAATTATGCTCTAAATCGATTCTTGTTAAAATTGTTGGGTCACATTGTATATGCATTATGTACATTTCATCTAAAATGCGACTGCTTAACAAACCGAATTTAACACCTCAATTAGCAACATCACTGGTGAGTCGTTAAATGTAACTTGAAACTTCTCTTTAAACTTAAATGTGCGATCAACATCTAGTTATAACTTGAGTGAAATTGTTTAAAATAATAACTAGTGGCCAGTTTTTGAAGCGGTCAGTTTAACTCAATTCAGTTTATTTTTATTTCTTGCGTGCATACCAGTTCTGCAAATTTAAACATCTGGGTAAAATTAAAAAGAAAGCATTGGAATGTTAAATTAACGGGGAAAAAATTTTAGAAAATGAAACTTCGTTGATCGATCACTTACAGTAACAGACGCAATGGCACTATATGACTCTCCTATCTTGATGAACCTGATGACCTTAGCACCGAGCACAACTTCCACATTCCTGACCCAGGCCACCTTCGAGTTGGGCTCCCTATGGTAGTTGTGGATGTAGACGGAGAAGGGGGGTGCCGTGATGTTCGGTCCATTCAGACTGGTATTGCCGGGCAGGTTGTTTGACGAGAGGAGAGTTTTGCATGTTCCTGGATGTTGGTTGACGATATTCATAATATTTGTAGGAAAAATGTTTGTTTGGTTCGAAAATTTTTTTTTTTGAAATTCCCAACAAGGGTAGATCACAACGAACAGTTTAATGACGACCGTAACAAATGAAACAAGTTAGTGATCAAGTTTGCGGTCACCACACCTTGGTAGTCCAGGTTGAGTCCGTCGAAGGTCTTACAATGGGTGTCTCCTGTACACTTGCATTTGGCGGTCAGTTGAGGGAACTTTGGTAAGGGGCCATTTGGATCGAAGGGGTTCTTGCCATTGAATGGGGATGGAACGTTCAGATCTATTAATAATAAGGCCAATTAAAATTTTTAAAAATTATTAAAAATTATTTTTAGTTTTTTTATTACGCAGCTAAAGGCTGTAACATTCAAACCTTACGATGTACATACACATGTTGTATACACGCGCAAGCACCTATGACATAGTCTTCTAGCTTCGGACAGACAGTATTCGAACTAGGTCATCGCGGAGTAACAACAAGAGACGTAGCACTT